TAGGATAGAAACTAGTGAAGAGAGTGTTTAGCCGTGAATGACAAACTGCTTTCAGCATAGGTTACTGTTGCTACTGATCTTCTTGATATTCCTCTTGATGTAGGCATATCTTTCATCTTCCATACGACGGCCGAGTTCAAACGTGTAGGGAAAGAGGTATAAAACCTGAAGGATATGGTTCATTGTGTTTGTGGCAAATATTTGCACAAACTCTTTGTTATCAGCACTTCCAATAAGTGTGGGTGGTTCTACACAAGCCTTTACCACAATAAACAAATGTTTTGTGTAGATCGTCTGCACTTCTGTTCTGTGATCCGTCTTTGCTATTCCAACTGAGCAACAAGTCCACTGGCGAGAGAGTTAAGGCGACGGGAACAGGTACAGGGTTAAAAACTGAACTGAGAGACAGTGATACGTCGAAAACGACGGGTTCGTCCATCATATATATATATATATATATATATATATATATGACTGCTACCACTATATTCGGTATGATAATACAGATACACACATAATCGTGTATATTTGTGTGTGTGTGATCATAAATTGCGAAAATACGGGAAAATTTGGAGAATTTCATGCGTTTTTCATAAAATGAGAACTCCTGCCAAAGAACTGCTTATTGTTTGACTACAGCTGTAATATTCAATAAATATGGAAAAGCTCAAGCGTTTGATTTGTTTAGGCGTCTCAAGAGTGTATCGTCGAAGAACTGATAAAGACTTGATAATTTATCAAATATCTGTCTTGTTGGCCTCTCGACGTGAGATTCTGAAGTTGCTTGACCAAAACAGAAAAGTCGCTTGACCTTTTTCAGAACTGGGTGCACTTCATTATTTTTATGATTCGGATCAATTTTTTTATTTTTTTATTTTTTATTTTAGATTTACACCCCAAGCAACGTGGGTGTGCCACTAGTACGGTGTTACAGAAAGTGAGAGCAAGAGTAAATAGGCTTTATAGAGGAAACGATGAAAAGATGGACGGGGAATATATCAACGCATCTGGAGATGTCGATTGACATTTCATTTGAATAGTTGGTGATTATAGGTGTTAGGGAAATAAGTCGAGAAAGGGAGTGCCACAGACTGGAAGTGCGAGACATGAAGCTATTGGAGTAGAAGAGACGGCTACATTTAACCGTTTTGACAGTGAAAGTGTGGGCCAGAACTTTTTCGTTTCTATATTGTAAGACAGTTGTATTGTAAAAAAAATATTACAAAAAAAATATTTAAAAAAATATTACAAAAATATATTAAAACATTGTAAAAAAAAAATATTGTAAAAAGTAATTTTATTATTTAATACGTAACGAAATATTTAAACTGTCATAGGTTTCGTTTTACACTGACTCCAAATTATGAATTAAGCTTTTTCTGACACTGTTTCAGAATAAAAAGACGAACTGCCAGAGAGAAATTCGCTAGTCTAGTTAATGATTGTGCTTGGTTAGTTGGAACAAAAACAAGAATCATTTTGTCATAGGCAAGCAAGTCCGTATGATTGTAAGTAATGAATGCAATTGCATGCTTGTCCGCGGAAATATGTGTGAATATGGGCATCAATACAGTCTTTTTTTTTCTTTTGAAATGGAGATTTTCTCCGCTAATATTATTCCCTTGCTATTTATAATTGGTATAATGTCTGGACAGTTTAATATATTTAGCATTCCAGATCAAGAGAGTCTTTTAAAAGAAGTCTGAACGTAATGTGAATAAAACAATTTTGGAGTAAGAATGCAAAAGGGAATGAGATGAAGAAAAAGAGAAAAAAAAGATCCCTTAATTGAAGCAGAAAAATTAAAGAATAGAAAGCAAGACAAGTATAAGTCCAATGTAGATTTTTACTAAAAATTATATATATATATATATATATGTTTTTTTTAAATTAGCAAACTATTATCTGTAATTATGAGAATTTGTTGCCTAAATACACACACACACTATATATATATATATATATATATGTGTGTGTGTGTGTGTGTGTGTGTATTTAGGCAACAAATTCTCATTTAGGTATGTCTGAGTGAATAAATTACCGATAATAGTTTGCTAATTTTAAAAAAAAACATATCCCTTTATACTCACAAATAACCTTCCGCTAATATCAATACATGGTTATTCGTGAGTATGATCGAATTTTGTTAAAAATTAGCAGACATAATGTCTGTAATTTATTCAATAATATATATATATATATATATAAAGAAATATAGTCTTAAGATGTACTATATTTATGGGATAAAGTGCTCAATATCAGAGATAGAGCGTGTGTAAATATAAAAGTGAACATAGACGTCAATACTTAGAGGCGACAGTATGTTCCATGCTAGATGCAATCGTCAGGCCTGACGATTGCATCTAGCATGAAACAGACACCGAAAAGCTTGTCCGTGAATACGAAAGGATTCAAATTAGAAAAAAGCTAAATTATTCATTGAAATATGCTGGCAAAATATAGCCTATATATATATATATATATATATATATATATATATATATATATATATATATATATATATAGATTTAAGGTATGATATATTTGTGGTCAGTATCAGGGGATATAGTGTATGTAAATATAAAAGTGGACATGGAAGTCAAGATTGATTACCATAATATATCATATATAATATTATATGATATATTATTGTAATCTGTATCGAATTTCCAGGAGGATATAAATCCAGGAGAGTTCTATGTCAAAAGACAGAGCAAAATTATTATTAATTAAAGGATATCTAACACGTAAAATACCACAGATAATAATAAGGGAGAGAGAAAGAAAGAGATCTCGGACTAAATGGGTATTGACTGGTGGTCTGGATATCGTTTCTGGATTTAACTTGACAATTACTACGTATTGAACATTCTATTGTCCACCAAACTGCCTAGCGCTGTAAGGGCGGCAGACTCTCTGCCTCTGATTACTTGTCCACCATAAATATACCAAATCTGAAGATATACACACTTCTCTACTTACCTATATATATATATATATAAGATATGCACATTTCCCATATATATATATATATATATATATATATATATATATAGCAATTAGCTCCTTATTATTTTTTTCTTTCGGTCTTAAACCCTTCTTTTTTCTCAGGTTATTTTTTTTAAATTGTCCATTCGCCTCTCCCAGCTTTCGTCTTTTACAAGCCATAATTAATTATTGTTTGAGAATTTTGCGTTTAATGGCATAGCGGTTCTACCTTTGGTTGTTTTGCATCGCGTATCATATCAGCAATGAGCGACATTTTTTTTCAAATATCATTTTTCGCTTGAATACACAAACACACACATTATATATCTATCTCTAGATGTATATACATGCGCACACACACACACTTTATGTACAAAGGTTAAATTGTCACCCTTATTATTTTTTTTAAATTTTGCTCATGCGCGTTGTTTGTTTTTGATTTCGTCGACTGTACAGCATAGTAGGATCCGCTGGGCACCGTCCCTGAGAAAAAGAATACCGTGAGCAATTCACTCCGCCAGAAATTTGGAAACGTCATGATGTACAGTTTGACATTCACGTCAGAATCCCCAATACAAAATATTGCCTTAAAAACGTTATTTTCCAAAAATACACTATAATTATTTTTTTCTATTTTTAACAGAAGCAATATTTGTTATATAAACCTAGGACTTACTTGATACGCGATGTTAGAAGGAACGTATACAATATCGGAGAAATTAGAAAAAAAAAAGAACCTTATAGAAATTGTTGCAAACAAAGAAAACAGTAAAAACTACTTGGCTAATATATATATGTATATATATATATATATAAAGGTATGAATACAAAAGGAAACATTAAAACGTATCGCTGAACGCATACATATATAATGACCCAATGGATTCGGCCATTATTTATGATTCTATCAACGGATACCATATATCGATATATGTAACTGGAAAACAACTTGGGGGCGGTGCACGCATTGGAATCGATATAATTCTCCGATCATTCCATCTGATATAAGCAGTTAAAGCATCGAAAAGGCGTAGTGTACTATGCTGATTCAGAGATTCACATGTGAAAACATCAAACGCGGTCTGTATCTAAGTAAATATTAACGCGGTGGAGAATGTGACGTTTCTCTTTCAAAATACCCGCGCACTCCTTCGAGGTAAGATCAAAAATGAAAAAAAAATCCCATGTATTTTCACACCCGAGCAGCAGGAAACACTTGATCGTAAAAATAATCACCATTACATTCACTGCATAGCTGAGCCAAACATCTATTCAATGTCCGCGTGTGGTTGTAGATTCACTTCACAGCTGAGCCCCTGATCAATTCCCCTCCACATAGCCGGAGATTTACTGATTCTCTCGTATCCCGTCGCAAGTAAGTAGGTCATACTCCAGCCGTTGACCTACAAAGGACGCGTGACATTTGGTTACTTTAGGGGAACTGTCGGCCCGGATTGTTGACTTCAGTTTCGGAAGACCGCTACCCATGTATGCCGTGTCAGCACCGCAACTGCTTGATAAATGGAATTCAGTTTACATCATTATGTTAGATGTCTCTCGACCTCCTACAAGAAGTACAAGAAATTGTGGACAGCCATGATCGCCTGCGTTCTGAAAAAGGAGGGTCTTTAGGTTCTTTTCGATAACCTCGCTGTAAAGATTTTTTTTTTTTTTAAAGAAATCTCCGGTAAGATGATGCAACAATATATTCCAATATATTTTGTGTACTTATTTCATTACCGATAGGAATGTAGGCGATTTGTTTCCAGTATAAGTTCAGGATTATTCTAAAACCGTTCTCGAATAAATTAAGTTTAATTCGCAGTTCAAATATATCGTTTCGTCGTACCTTGTCAAAAGATTTACCTTAAGCCATGAAATATATGTATGCGATTCGCTGCATGGGTATCGATCTCTTTACAGTCATTCTTCCACAGTAGTAATGAAAATATTAAGAGACGCATTTGTCAAGGCAGACATCTTGCATGTTGTTTACCCAGGTTCTGTTCTAAATGGTTGTTAAATTCAACCTTGATATTTCTCACCGCTCCAGCGACAAATGCTGCTGTTCTCGTCACTGTATTTCATCTTCGCCGAATCTCTCTCTTTTCATCTTCATTTCCAATACATCATTATATCTACGCTTCTTGTTTAATGACGTTTACAACGTCTGTGATCGCCACATCAGTAAGAAGGCATGTTTTGGTTTCTTATTGCAAACCACCATGTCTGGTCAGTTGTTTATCATCACCCGATATTAGCAGTATATCCAAACATGTTTGTTCTGTTACCGCTGCTGTTGTTAATCTTTATTCCGTCACTGTTAGCACGAATCGTAACGCGTGACTTATATTATCAGATTAAGTGAAAGAGAGAGCGAGTCAACGCAAAATGTCAGTGCTTTTATCAGTATTCTAGTTTCATTTTGGGGGGGCATTTTACCGGTCCCGGTAAAACAGACAAACATGCTTTTATGCTTATTTACCGTTCTCAGCTATTTTGCCGGTAATATTATTATTATTATTACGAAGGCAAGTTTTGGGCAAGTGATCGAGTGGTTAGAACGGTCGCATTCTGACCATGAGACCAGGGTTCGAATCTCAACGTGGTCGATTTGTCAGGAAGGAAATGTCCAGATGTCATCGGACTGGAGGCACCTTTGCAAAGTGCCTGACAACCATACCACGGATTGACCCAAGCCTTGTAAGCGAAACTGGGTAGACAGTACCCTCGGGGGCCGTCGATAACTATGTTAGCACAAAGTCACAAGTCATTGCGGTCGAGGGCTTGAGCGTGCTGACCTTGTTCAAGTTGTTGATCAAGCTAGATAACACGCTCTTTCCCATAAACTGTAACTAAGATCTGCTCAGCATATTTGCAGTATAAACCAGTTGAATAAACACAAATGTGCCTGAGCAAGCGTCTGCAATTGGGATTGGCTAGCCGCTCTAATAGACATGTATCTTCGAATACTCTTATTCGAAGATACCCGTCTACCCACCAGCTATATATATGAAGACAGGTAATGTTAAAATGATAACACAGATATTTAACACAGATATTTAACACAGAATTTTATTTATTTTCACCATCAATGTTTAAGACAATTTAAAATCTTTTCCTCTGTCAATTGTTAAAACACGAGTTAAAATCATTTATCCATCATTATTATTAAAAGAAATATAGAAGTCTGAATATTTTCTGAACTTTAGCCATGACAGTCGCTGACAATCCAAAGCTTGCCCTTGGTCATGGGTCTCTTACCAATACATTCAGATGAACCAACTAGAAACCGTGCTGTTCAAGTTCTGCCTACATAGATCACGCACCAACTGCGCTGACGATCGCAAATATAATATATTCTTAGTTCTAAAACACTATATTTACAAGCAAAATAGCCTTGGTGTCTATTTTACCGAAACCAGCAAAATAGTTTATTCGTTTTTTTTTGTGTGTTTTTTTGTCTATTTTTTTTGTTTATTTTTTTAAATGCCATAAACTAGATCGTTCCAACGATATGGGGGATGAAATGTCTTATATGGTATATATAAAGGAATGATTAATATATTTTATTATTCGACGTTTTTAAAATGGATAAGAAGTTTGTAAAGTGCAAATGGAAGCAAAAAGAATTTAAAACATCCCCAATATTTATATATCTTTTTTGTTCATAGATGCGTTTTTCAAAACTTGTCTTCCCAATATAAATTATAATGGCGTCTACATATCATCACACACACACACACACACACACACACACACACACACATATATATATATATATATATATATATATTACAAAGAGTTAATCATACTAATTGCTAATTGATTCAAGGTATGATTAACTCTTTGTAATATAATATATATGCTGCCTATTTAATTATATATATATATATATATATATATATATAGCATAATGAGAAGCCACGTATACTTTCTTGATATGTATATATAGAAAAAACAACTAAAAAGTAGCAAATAAAATGTTTTTTTATGAAAGTATTTATTCATATATTTTATATTTATTTATATATATGTAGTTTTGATATGTCAGATCGACCTCGATCTCGATCTTCAGAAATTATTTCTGAAGAAAGATCGAGGTCGATCTGAAATATCAAATATAAATGAATACTTTCATAAAAAAAATTAGTATTTTTTTAATTTGCAACTTTTTAGTTGTTTGCATATATATGTGTGTGTGTGTGTGTGTGTGTGTGTGTGTGTTTGTGAGGCAGGGTGGTGTAACTGATAGTAGCTCGGATTGAGGAATCGGAGTTCGAATTCCAGTCGAATCAATTACATTCAATTACGTACTAATACCCTTGGGAAAGGTATGAAATCTCTTCTTCTCCCCTACCTCAGCTATGGGTAAATGGCAGGAGAGACCGGGTTCTATAGCCTTGGACGTGCGTCTCTGTGTCTATTTATTTCTGTGTATGTATTATTCAGGAAATATTCATCCAAACAAGTTTGATTAAAAAGAACTGACAAAGTTTGTTTCATCTTTTATTGTACTTTATCCAATTTTCGAATAAGGTGCTGTTCATTGTTATCCAAATATCACAGATAACACATTGGTTCTTGAAAATGACTGTGCCGTTCGAAAGTACGTGAACAAATAACAGCACAAAGAGGGACCCAGGAGAGTTCTGGCGAAAGTTTGATCCCAAGACAAAAAAACACATTTGAAAATAAGAAAAATACAATAAAAATTAAATAGGCATACCTTATAGATTCTTTGTAATCAAACTTGTTTATACATATATATATATGTGTGTGTGTGTGTGTGTGTGTGTGTGTGAAACAGTACAGAAACGTATTATGGCATAAAAAGCAAGAAATTTTATATTATAGGCCATAATAAATTTAAAATAAGAATAAAAGCACACACCCGTCGACCGGTTTCGTCCCCTCTCATCAGAACTGTTAACGGGGAACACAAATTATGAAGAGAGAAAAAAAAGTTTGTTATGGATGACGTGAATGAGTGGACAGGGAGAAAAAAAATAGAATTATAAAAATTATACCAACAAAGACGCTAGAAGCGCAGCACAGCAAGTCCAAGCAAACAATCTCTTTGTTTACAAAGAGCAGGTCGGCTGGACCTGATGTACAGCGTCTCCAACACCTTAAGATGGAATAATGAGTGTGCTCTGGCCAAAACGGAAAACCAGTTCACACTGGAATCCATCGCACAAGTGGGATTCTTTATAAAGGGATCCGCAATCGAAGAACCATACGTGTTACGAATGGTATCGCCCAACGAAAAATTTTTATTCAGTATTATAGCAGGTACGTGTTGTTGGATTCTAACGTCCAACCGCTGTGTCGTTCTACCTATGTAATCGCATCCACAACTACATTTGAAATGGTAAATAACAGAATTAATATGGTGGTGGTGGTGGTGGGGGGGGTAGAACATCTTTACACATAGATGAAAGTACGGACTTAGTTTGAAAAACAACACGAACGTTCGCTGCAAAATAACACTCACGTGAACTACATGAAATACGCTTGGAGAAAGATTCACTAATCCTACCCAACCACGGTAAACGAAGATAGACCGGACATTTACCTACTGAAGCAGGTTTGATTTTATTGAACCTGGCAGTCTTATCCCGAATAACCGATTGAACAATGTTCAACGGATAACCATTGTTCACAAAGATCTCAGTTAAACAACAGATTTCATCTTCCAAGGTGTTATTTGAACAAATCATTAACACCCTATGTGTCAAGGTCCTAATCAAATTGATCTTTTGTCGTTATATATATATATAGGTAACTACACTCGTCTATATATAATTTGTGTATATATGTATGTATATATATATGTGTTTATATATGTGTATATATGTATGTATATATATATATATATATATATATATATATATATATATATATATATATATATATATATGTGTGTGTTTATATGTGTATATATGTATGTGTATATATATATATATATATATATATATATATGTATACATGTGTATATATGTATGTGTGTGTATATATATATATATATATATATATATATATATATATGTGTGTGTGTATACATGTGTATATACGTATGTTTGTATATATATATATATATGTACGCGTGTGTATACATGTGTATATATATGTGCGTGTGTATATATGTGTATATATGTATGTGTGTATATATATATGTGCGTGTGTATACATATGTATATATGTGCATATGCATGTATATATGCATGTGTACATATATATATGCATGTGTGTATGTCTCTCTCTCTATATATATATATATATGTGTGTGTGTGTGTCTGTATGCGTGTGTCTGTATATATATATGAAATTGAAACAGATATTTTCATATAGTGCTCAATATTATAAAAATAGAGCGATGATAATAATATCTATTATATATTTTTAATATGTCCACTTTTCATGGTGCTAACGTTATATTAATACAATTTTTACTGAGTCAGTCAGAGATTTTCCACTTTGACTTGTTAACGAAAGGAATTTAAGCACCCGTGACAAACAGTAAAGTCTTTTCATATTCGAAACCATTATCTGGTACAACGGGGTAGGGCGCATTATTCTTTTGCAAGACCTCTCTATTATTATTGTTAGTTTGAAAAAATTTTTAAATAGTCATCACTTCCAGTAGATTTTACGAGGAAAATTATATTACACGGTAATCATAAAACCCAGTGTTATCCGCCATAACTTTGAGAAAACAATCTCACGACTAACCTTTTCTTGTTGCTAACCCAAAGTGCATTTTGCTGTCATCGCTTTTCCGGGGTAACTGCCTAAACGTACCCTCCTGTGTAATTTATTTAAGAAAGAGAGCAGGACTTAAAATTCTACTTAGGCAAGGCCGGTTTTAGATGCAACACGTCTTCATTAAAGACGCTCTTGACGATGAAAGCTGGTTAGTATGGTGTCTCAGAGACTGTCTTGCGGCTATGTAAACTCATAAGTAACAAGCATTGAGGTAGAGTGTATTGGGATGTATTTTGTTCTTCGTTTTGATACACTTTATCTGCAGTTTGTGCTACAGTAGATCATCTACAGGCCTTTATTCGAGCAAAACTTCCGTTACATTAATGAGTCTTCTATGTCCAATTATTTTACTCTCATACCACTGCCAAAAGGACTGTAAAATTGAACTTCAGCGCCCCACAAGCCGTACTGTCGCGGGAATGCCGTCATTTACTTTTTTCTAACCATACCGATTTGGATATTTTTTTTTTTCATTCAACTCTCTCATATTGCCTGACTGATGTGCGGTTGGTATAACGAATAGCAGATCGGAATGCGAAGACAGTCGTGTTCGAATTCTGGTTGGGTTCATTATTTTCACTTCGGTGCAACTAAAGCTGATTAAATATTTGTATTTCATCATGTTATTCTCTTGTTAATTCAATATTCACTCGTAAAAAAAACAAAATATGATTCAGCTTTGAATAATCGACAAAGTGTTGGTAATCTGTAAAAAAATTATACATAAATCAATCATTACTGTGGTTTTCTGAATTTTTTTTGTGTAAATTCATTAAGTACAAGGCTCGAGTGCCACCCAAGTTAGAGGTTACTGTTAAAATGCTTATGATCAAGGGATGGGGAATTTCAGTGAAAGTGGAGGTGGTAACTAGTGAAAATTATGAGCCTAGCGATTGACACTTGAATACATTAGGATTTTAATGTTCATGAAAGCATCAGCATATTAAATTGAATTGGCCACGCAAGCCGATCTTTTTATTTCCCTGAATCTGCATCTATTGCGAGACAGTAGCAGTCATTCTTGTCACAATTCGCTGGTCATAATATTTTGGACTCTCAGGGGCACTTCGACGTGTTGTAAAGCTTAGGAAGCTTGTCTAACTAGATCAATTATGACTCAGTAGCGAGTTCGATTCTAACTGGGTGCCCTATAATTACGGCTTTGTGCCACATCTACGCAAAAAAATTAAAATTAAAATTGGCTGGTCATTCGTATCAGAGATTGCTCGTCTATTAGGGTGGCTACGCAATCCCTGTTGCAGACGCCTGCTCAGATAGATTTGTGTTTATTCAACATCCACATAACCCACATGTGGTTTGTACTGCATCTATAATGAGCGGACTTTAGTTACAGTTTCTGCAAGAGAATCGTTGTCCATGCGTGTCCAACAGTCTGAACAAGGCCAGCACACTCAAAACCTCGGTCACGATGACTTGTGACTTCGTGCTAGTACAACCATCGACGGCTGCCAATGAGTTCCATCTGCCCAATTTCATCCAAAAGGCTATGATTTTCAGGCATTTTCCAAAGGTACAACACGCTAGGATCGGTTCCCACGGACCGATAACATCCAGAAGCCGTCTCCCTGACAAATCGACCATGCCGAGATTTGAACCCGGGTCTCAGGGTTAAAAAGCGAACGTTCTAACTACCATAATATTTTGGACTCTCAGTGTATGGGGATTCGCAGTAACGCGCAACTGAAATTGAATTGAAAAAAAATACTCGTCAAAACCGAATAGCAATTAATAATGCTGTGTCAGAATTAATTCAAGATAATATTTCTTCTAATATGTCTCGTTCCAATAAAGCAACTAAAAATAAGATGAAATAAACGCTTGTCAAAAAAATAAATCATAAATATCAATTGTTCATCTCATAATTAATTCGAGACGATATTAAGACTGAAACTTGTTACCCTGTTAGCACAGCGCAAGATTAACGGCATGTCGTCGTCCTGAGGACGATAAAACATAGTTCGACAGCTGAGGTGTTTGGGGGGAGATGTCGAGAGGGTATAAAATATTAAATTAAAATTCCATCATAGTTATTCTGAGAGAAAAAAAAACATCATTTATTTCACCAATTACGGCTGGCTTTTAACAAATGGAATACGCATCCACACTCACATCAGTAAACGAAATCCTAGAGTTCTTTTAAAAAGCTCAAGGAAACTGAATGTAAAACAATTACCATGAAAGTATTTATAGAAAAGGCACAGGGAAGCTAAATTATGGCGGGAGGAAAGTGATATTTAGGTACCCCCACCCACGAGGGTTACATGTGGCACAAGGCCAGGTTTAACGTGGGATCTCCGAGCCCGTAGGCTCGGCCAAAACAATTCCCTCTTTGAACCTGCATAAACGGGTTCAGGGGCAGTCAACCACCCCGAACGAGACTCTGCCTCGCCCGGGTTCCTCTCCGCCCGAAGGCAGAGGGTACGGCGGTAGGAAAGTGACTGAAGCCGAGACGCCAGGATAAGTTAAAAAAATTTCCGTGTAAAATAATTCAAATTATTTTAAATGAAATTATTTAGATAAAAACAATTAGAATTTTTATTTAAAATTTGGAGTAATTGTTAACTAAATTGTTTATATATTTGTACAGTTTTAAAAATGGAATATTCTACCTTTTTTTTCTCATTTTTTGTTGCAGCCTGTACGTCTTGCATTAAAAGCAAATACATTTCGGAATGCTAGCTGTAGGGAATCGAGGCCACAATTTCATGAGTGAACGAATTAAAATATTTATTTTCTTCTGATTTTATTGTCGTCTTTCAAGTTGCTAAGCAATATAAATTAATGATAAAAAAGTTAAAATAAATAAATAAAAAAAATATTTTAATTTTGGAATGGTTTAACATTTTTCTTCGGGTTATTTCCGGGATGATGTAAAAAAAATGAATCTGGATACCTAACGTTAAGTTTCTACGAAAAAAAAAGATTATAATTAATTGATTCCTGTTATGGTTGACAAAAGTATATAAGATTTTTTTTTTCTATTTTCCAATAAGTTTAACATATTCTGGAAGAATTTTTTTCTTGTACAAGCTAAACCACTTCATTCTCCATATCGTTCCTTATTATGTATCAAAGGAATTTCAGCTTCGTTCATGGTATTGTCAGCATTACCAAGTAAATCAAATAGGTATACAAATATAACAGTTCGTACTGAGATATTTATTTTTAAGATTTATACTTCTTTCAGATACCACTAGTCCTTTGAAGTTGTAGACATTCACAGTCATTCAGTCATTCAAGACGACTTCTGTTACTTGTGGCAAAAGAGATATTGGTTTTATTGAGAAATGTTGAGAATACCATGAACATAACATGCGACCAATGAGGAAGTTTTAAGAGATACTTGTATTTAAATGTCAGAAACAGACATTAATTTTTTTTGACACATAATAAATGAGGAAAGAGTCTCTTCGTGAACTGGACAGATTGAAGAAACAGAAATAAGCATTGAGAAATCTATTTAACAATTTTGTGCAAATGGATAATAGAAAAGATAGTGGGAGGGGTATTAAGGGGTCAGACATTTATGAGAGCTGCAAAATTTAGAAATTTAGGCAGAGCCATGCTTTTTTTCGTGCCTAAAGGACGAAAAAGATCAAAGAAGGAAGACCGTTCCATCAAATAAAATCACAATCCCTTTTCTTCTCTCTGCCATCCAGTAAAATCACAATCTCTTTTCTTCTCTCTGCCATCAAGTAAAATCACAAACCGTTTTCTTCTCTCTGCCATCCAGTAAAATCACAATCCCTTTTCTTCTCTCTGCCATCCAGTAAAATCACAAACCCTTTTCTTCTCTCTGCCATCAAGTAAAATCACAATCCCTTTTCTTCTCTCTGCCATCCAGTAAAATCACAAACCGTTTTCTTCTCTCTGCCATCCAGTAAAATCACAAACCGTTTTCTTCTCTCTGCCATCCAGTAAAATCACAATCCCTTTTCTTCTCTCTGCCATCCAGTAAAATCACAAACCCTTTTCTTCTCTCTGCCATCAAGTCTCTGTCACAAACCTCTTTTTTCTCTCCCATCCAGTAAAATCACAAACTCTTTTCTTCTCTCTGCCATCCAGTAAAATCACAATTCTTTCTTCTCTCTGCCATCCAGTAAAATCAAAACTGTTTTCTCTCTGTCTTTTCCTCTCCAGTAAAATTCTCTCTCCCTTTTCTTCTTCTCTGCCATCCAGTAAAATCACAATCCCTTTTCTTCTCTCTGCCATCCAGTAAAATCACAATCCCTTTTTTCTTCTCTCTGCTATCAAGTAAAATCACAAACCGTTTTCTTCTCTCTGCCATCCAGTAAAATCACAATTCCTTTTCTTCTCTCTGCCATCCAGTAAAATCACAATCTCTTTTCTTCTCTCTGCCATCAAGTAAAATCACAAACCGTTTTCTTCTCTCTGCCATCCAGTAAAATCACAATCCGTATTCTTCTCTCTGCCATCCAGTAAAATCACAAACCGTTTTCTTCTCTCTGCCATCCAGTAAAATCACAAACCGTTTTCTTCTCTCTGCCATCCAGTAAAATCACAATCCTTTTCTTCTCTCTGTCATCCAGTAAAATCTTTTCAATCCCTTTTCTTTTCTCTGACATCCAGTAAAATTTCAATCCCTTTTCTTCTCTCTGCCATCCTGTCTTTTCACAAACCTTTTCTTCTCTCTGCCATCCAGTAAAATCACAATCTTTTTTTCTCTCTTTTCCATCCAGTAAAATCACAATCTTTTCATTCTCTGCCATTCAGTAAAATCACAATCCCTTGTCTTTTCTCTCCATCCAGTAAAATCACAAACCCTTTTCTTCTCTCTGCCATCCAGTAAAATCAAACCCTTTCTCTTTTCTCTGCTCTGTCTTTTAAAATCCCCAAGTCATTTTCTTCTCTCTGTCATCCAGTCCCTGTCACAAACCGTTTTCTTTTCTCTGCCATCCAGTAAAATCACTCTCTCTTTTCTTCTCTGCCATTCCTCCCCTCACAAACCGTTTTCTTCTCTCTTCCATCCAGTAAAATCACAATCCCTTTTCTTCTCTCTGCCATCCAGTAAAATCACAAACCGTTTTTCTCTTCTCTTTTCCATCCAGTAAAATCTCCCCCGTTTTTCTTCTCTCTGCCATCCAGTAAAAATCACAATCCCCTTTTTTCTTCTCTCTGCCATCCAGTAAAATCACAATCCTTTTTTCTTCTCTCTGCCATCCAGTAAAATCACAATCCTTTTCTTCTCTCTGCCATCAAGTAAAATCACTGTCCCTTTTCTTCTCTCTGCCATCCAGTAAAATCACAATCTCTTTTCTTCTCTCTGCCATCCAGTAAAATCACAATCCCTTTTCTTCTCTCTGCCATTCAGTAAAATCACAATCCCTTTTCATCTCTCTGCCATCCAGTAAAATCACAATCCCTTTTCTTCTCTCTGCCATCCAGTAAAATCACAAACCCTTTTCTTCTCTCTGCCATCAAGTAAAATCTGTCATTTTCTTCTCTCTGCCATCCAGTAAAATCTTTTCTTCCGTTTTTCTCTCTCTGCCATCCAGTAAAATCACAAACCCTTTTCTTCTCTTTGCCATCCAGTAAAATTCACTCTCCTTTTTTTTCTCTCTGCCATCCAGTAAAATCACAATCCTTTTCTTCTCTCTGCCATTCAGTAAAATCACTCCCTTTTTCTTCTCTCTGCCATCCAGTAAAATCACAAACCCTTTTCTTCTCTCTGCCATCCAGTTCTTTTCTCTGTCTTTTTTCTCTGTCTTTGCCATCAAGTAAAATCACAATCCCTTTTTTTCTTCTCTGCCATTCTTTAAAATTTTCAAACCCTTTTTCTTCTCTCTTTTCTTCAGTAAAATCCTCTCCTCCTTTTTTTTTCTCTCTGCCATCCAGTAAAATCACAATTCTTTTCTTCTCTCTGCCATCCAGTAAAATTTCCAAACCCTTTTTTTCTTCTCTCTGCCATCTAAAATCACAATCCCTTTTCTCTCTCTTTTCCATCCTGTCTTTTCTTTTCAAAAGGTTTTCTTCTCTCTGCCTTTCCCTCTCTGCCATCCACTTTCCTTTTCTTCTCTTTGCCATCCAGTAAAATCACAAACCCTTTTCTTCTCTGTCTTTTCTTTTCAGTAAAATCACAATCTTTTTTTCTCTCTCTCTTTCTCCAGTGAAAATTTCAAGGTCAATCCCTTTTCTTCTCTGCCATTTTTCTTCTCTCACAATCTTTTCTTCTCTCTCTTTAAAATCACAATCCTTTTCTTCTCTCTGTCTTTCAGTAAAATCACTTCTCTGTCTTTTCTTTCTCTCTTTTCCATCCAGTAAAATCCAAATCTTTTCTTCTCTCTGTCAATTTTCTTTCCTCTTTCCATTTTTTCTCTGCCATCCAGTAAAATTTCTTTTTTTTTTCTCTCTGCCATCCAGTAAAATCACAAACCCTTTCTTCTCTCTGCCATCAAGTAAAATCTCAAACCGTTTTTTCTTCTCTTTTCCATCCAGTAAAATCACAAACCGTTTTTTCTTCTTTTCTCTCTCTGCCATCCAGTAAAATCACAATCCTTTTCTTCTCTTTGCCATCCAGTAAAATTTCAATCTCTTTTCTTTCTCTTCTCTCCAGTAAAATCTTCTCTCTTTTCTTCTCTCTCTGCCATCCAGTAAAATTTCAACCTTTTTTTCTCTCTGCCATCCAGTAAAATCACAATCTCTTTTCTTCTCTCTGCTTTTCCAGTAAAAATCACAAACCCTTTTCTTCTCTCTTTTCAATCTCTGTAAAAATTCAATCCCTTTTCTTCTCTCTCCATCCAGTAAAATCCCCAATCCCTTTTTTCTCTCTGCCATCCAGTAAAATCACTGTCTTTTCTTCTCTCTGTCTTTTCTTCAAGTAAAATCACTGTCCGTTTTTCTTCTCTCTGCCATCCAGTAAAATCAAATCCTTTTTCTTCTCTCTGCCATCCAGTAAAATCCCAATCCTTTTCTTCTCTCTGTCTTTTCTCCAAAGTAAAATCACAATCCTGTCTTTTCTTCTCTCTGCCATCCAGTAAAATCACAAATATTTTCTTTTTCTCTCCCATCCAGTTCTTCTCACAAACCGTTTTCTCTCTTTTCCTCCTTCAAGTAAAAATCACAAACCGTTTTCTTCTCTCTGCCATTTTCTTTTCTCTCACAATCTCCTTTCCTTCTCTCAGCCATCCTGTCTTTCACTTCTCCTTTTTCTTTTCTGCCATCCAGTAAAAATCTGTCTTTCTTTTCTTCTCTCTTCCATCCAGTAAAATCAATAAACCCTTTTCTTCTCTCTGCCATCAAGTTTTCTCACAAACCGTTTCCTTCTTTTTCCATCCAGTAAAATTTCAATCTCTTTTTTCTTCTCTCAGCTCTCTCAAGTAAAAAATCACAATCCTTTTATTCTCTCTTTTCATCCAGTAAAATCACAATCCTCTTTCTTCTCTCTGCCATTCAGTAAAATCACAATCCCTTTTCTTCTCTCTCTGCCATCCAGTAAAATCACAATCCTTTTCTTCTCTTCTCATCCAGTAAAATCTTCAATCCCTTTTCTTCTCTCTGCCATCCAGTAAAATCACAATCTTTTCTTCTCTCTGCCATCCAGTAAAATCACAATCTCTTTTCTTTTCTCTCCCCATCAAGTAAAAATCACAATCCTTTTCTTCTCTCTGCCATCCAGTAAAATCACTTTTCCTTTCTTATCTCTCTGCCATCCAGTAAAATCCCCAATCCCTTTTCTTCTCTCTGCCATCAAAGTAAAATCACAATCCCTTTTCTTCTCTTTGCCAATCAAGTAAAAATCACAATCCTTTTCTTCTCTTTTCCATCCAGTAAAATCACAAACTGTTTTCTTCTCTCTGCCATCCAGTAAAATCACAATCCTTTTTTTCTCTCTGCCATCCAGTTTCCTCACAATCTCTTTTCTTCTCTCTGCCATCAAGTTTTCTCTGTTTTTCTTTTCCTTTTCTTCTCTCTGTCTTTTCTTCTCTCTGTCTTTTCCTCACTGTTTTTTCTTTTTCTGTCTTTTCTTCTCTGCCATCCTGTAAAATCACAAACCGTTTTCTTCTCTCTGCAATCCAGTAAAATTTTAACCCCTTTCTTTTCTTCTCTCTGCCATCCAGTCTTTTCTCACAAACCTTTTTTCTTCTCTCTTTCATCCAGTAAAATCTTCAACCCTTTTCTTTTCTCTCTGCCATCCAGTAAAATCACAAACCCTTTCTTTTCTCTGCCATCTTTTAAAATCTCTCTCTTTTCTTCTCTCTGCCATCCAGTAAAATCACAATCCCTTTTCTTCTCTCTGCCATTCAGTAAAATCACACTCCCTTTTCTTCTCTCTGCCATCCAGTAAAATCTCAAACCGTCTTTTTCTCTCTGCCATCCAGTAAAATCACAAACCCTTTTCTTCTCTCTGCCATCCAGTAAAATCACAAACCGTTTTCTTCTCTCTGCCATCCAGTAAAATCACAATCCCTTTTCTTCTCTCTGCCATCCAGTAAAATCACAATCTCTTTTCTTCTCTCTGCCATCCAGTAAAATCACAATCCCTTTTCTTCTCTCTGCCATCAAGTAAAATCACTCTGTCTTTTTTCTTCTCTGCAATCCAGTAAAATCACAAACCGTTTTCTTCTCTCTGCCATCCAGTAAAATCTGTCCCTTTTCTTCTCTCTGTCTTTTCATCCAGTGTCTTTTCTTCAAACCGTTTTTCTTCTCTCTGCCATCCAGTAAAATCACAATCCCTTTCTTTTCTCTCTCTGCCATCCAGTAAAATCACAATCCCTCTTTTCTTCTCTGCCATCCAGTTTTCTTCAAACCGTTTTTTTCTCTCTGCCATCCAGTAAAATCACAAACCCATTTCTTCTCTTTTCCATCCAGTAAAATTCAAACTCTTTTCTTTTCTTCTCTCTGCCATCCAGTAAAATCACAATCCTTTTCTTCTCTCTGCCATCAAGTAAAATCACAATCTCTTTTCTTCTCTCTTTGCTTTCCAGTAAAATCTTCTCTCCGTCTTTTTCTCTCTTTCCATCCAGTAAAATCACAAACCGTTTTCTTCTCTCTGTCTTTTCCAGTAAAATCTTTTCTCCTTTCTTCTCTCTGCCATCCAGTAAAATCACAATCCCTTTTCTTCTCTCTGCCATCCAGTAAAATCACAATCTCTTTTCTTCTCTCTGCCATCCAGTAAAATCACAAACCCTTTTCTTCTCTCTGCCATCCAGTAAAATAACAATCCTTTTTCTTCTCTCTGCCATCCAGTAAAATCACAATCCCTTTTCTTCTCTCTGCTGTCTTTTCTAAAAATCACAAAACCTTTTCTTCTTTCTTTCTATCCAGTAAAATCTCAAACTCTTTTCTCTCTTCTCTTCTGCAATCAAAGTAAAATCACAATCCCTTTCTGTCTTTTTCTCTCTGCCATCCAGTAAAAATCTTTTCTCTCCCTTTTTTTCTCTGCCATCCAGTAAAATCTCTCTGTCCCTTTTCTTCTCTCTGCCATCAAGTCCTCTGTCTCCGTTTTTCTTCTCTTTTTCCATCCAGTAAAATCTTTTCCCCTTTTATTCTCTCTGCCATCCAGTAAAATCTTCTTCTTTTTTTCTTCTCTCTGCTTTCCAGTAAAATTTAAAACCCTTTTTCTTCTCTCTGTCATCCAGTCTTTTCTTTTCTTTTCTTTTCTCTCCCATCTTTTCCTCACCCCGTTTTTCTTCTCTCTGTCATCCAGTTCTTTCCAAATCCTTTTTCTTCTCTGCCATCCAGTAAAATCTCCCCCTCTCTTTTCTTCTCTCAGCCATTTCAAGTAAAATCACAATCCCTTTTCTTCTCTCTTTCTTCCAGTAAAATTTCAAACTGTTTTCTTATCTTTGCCATCCTTAAAAATCACAATCCCTTTTCTTTTCTCTGCCATCAAGTCTTTTCTTTTCAAACCGTTTTTCTTCTCTCTTTTCATCCAGTAAAATCTTCAATCTGTCTTTTTTTCTCTCTGCTTTCCAGTCTTTTTCCCAAACTTTTCTTCTCTTCTTCTCTCTGCCATTTCAGTAAAAATCTGTTTTTTTCTTTTCTCTGTCTTTTCTCTGCCATGTCTTTTCTCCCCAATCCTTTTCTTCTCTCTCTCTTTTGTCTTTCCAGTCTTTTCCTCAAATTGTTTTTTTTCTCCCTGCCATCCAGTAAAATCTTTTCCTTTTCTTCTCTCTTCCATCCAGTAAAATTTCTCCCCCTGTCTTTTCTTCTCTCTGTCTCCAGTAAAATCACAATCCTTTTCTTCTCTCTGCCATCAAGTTTTCCTCTCTTTTCTTTTCTCCCATCCAGTAAAATCTCAAACCGTTTTCTTCTCTGTCTGCCATCCAGTCTTTTCCTCAATCCTTTTCTTCTCTCTGCCATTCAGTAAAATCTCTGTCTTTTCTTCTCTCTGTCCATCCAGTTTTCTCTCAAACCGTTTTTTTTCTCTCTTTTCCATCCAGTAAAATCACAAACCCTTTTCTTCTCTCTGTCTTTAAAATCACAAACCTTTTCTTCTCTCTTTTCAATCCAGTTCCACAATCCCTTTTCTTCTCTCTGTCTTTTCTAAAATCAAATCTTTTCTTCTCTCTGCCATCCAGTAAAATCTGTCTTTCCTTTTCTTCTCTCTTCCATCCAGTAAAATTTTCTTCTCTTTTTCTCTCTTCTCTCTTTCTCCAGTCTTTTCCTCTCCTTTTTCTTTCCTCCCATCCAGTAAAATCACAATCTGTCTTTTTTTTTCTTCTCTGCCATCCAGTGAAATTCTCTCAAACCTGTTTTTCTTTTCTCTGTCATTTCCTAAAATCACAATCTTTTCCTCTTCTCTCTGCCATTCTCTCTGTCTTTTCTTCTCTCTGTTTTTCTTCTCTCTGTCCATCCAGTAAAATTTTCTCAAACTGTCTTTTTTCTCTCTGCCATCCAGTAAAATCACAAACCCTTTTCTTCTCTCTGCCATCCAGTAAAATCACAAACCTTTTCTTCTCTCTTTTCCATCCAGTAAAATCACAATCCCCCTTTCTTTTCTGCCATCCAGTCAAAATCACAATCTCTTTCTCTTCTTTCTGCCATCCAGTAAAATCACAATCCCTTTTCTTCTCTCTGCCATCAAGTAAAATCACAATCTTTTTTCTTCTCTGCAATCCAGTAAAATCACAAACCGTTTTTTCTTCTCTCTTTTCTTCCAGTAAAATCCTCCTTTTCTTTTCTGCCATCCAGTGCCAACCGTCCTTCTCTTTTCTTTCCTCAGTCTTTTCGTTTTCTTTTCTTTCTCTCCCATCCAGTAAAATCACAATCCCTTTTCTTCTCTCTTTTCATCCAGTAAAATCTCAAACCGTTTTTTTTCTCTCTGCCATCCAGTAAAATCACAAACCCTTTCTCTCTGCCATCCAGTAAAATCTCAATCCTTTTCTTCTCTCTGCCATCCAGTAAAATCAAAATCCTTTTTTTCTTCTCTCTGCCATCAAGTAAAATCACAATCTCTTTTTTCTCTCTTTGCCATCCAGTAAAATCACCCCCCGTTTTTTTTCTCTCTGCCATCCAGTAAAATCACAACCCTTTTCTTCTCTCTGCCATCCAGTAAAATCACAATCCCTTTTCTTCTCTCTGCCATCCAGTAAAATCTCAAACCGTTTTTTTCTCTCTGCCATCCAGTAAAATCACAAACCGTTTTCTTCTCTCTGCCATCCAGTAAAATCACAATCCCTTTTCTTCTCTCTGCCATCCAGTAAAATTACAGGCCCTTTTCTTCTCTTATTAATAATAAAAAACAATTTTCTCTTCTTACACTGCATAGAAATGTACAGGTGTTGTGTGTCTGTGCGTTTCATCTCTCTTCAAAATTACTTAAAAATAATTTAGTTCTCTGCATTATACAACATTTAGTTTTCCAGTTCTCCAAAATTTCAATTTTCAAGTTCACCAAGCCTTCTTTATGCTTGAGGTCAAAATCTTATTAAACTTTCCAAACAGATCGCAATCTGCGCTTGCACCTATTGCTGCAGGAATTAATACCATGTTTGTGTGGTCTAGAAAAATATATATATATATATATGTGTAACTTCTTTACTATAAGGCATCACCCGACAAGTAATTACTTACAGAATAAAGTGTAAGCAAATGTTTTACCCAGAACAACATATTTTACTTGGAGAATATGTCACGTTGTGGCGACGTTCTCTGCAGTGGGCTATTTTCCTCTCCCCTAATTTGAACGCTTTCCGCCCCAAAAACTGACAGTAACGTTGTAAAGTGATGTAGCCGAAAAAATTCCTCCTTTATTAAATATAAAGTCCAAATAGTTCCTTTTTTTTCCTTTTCTAATCAATATGCACATAAATTATAACATTTCTCTCAAGTTAATGTAGCAATGCAAATACTCCGCATTTATACAAGGTAGGTATGTTGTGGGTAGTCTATAAAAAAAACTTTCAAAATCTATTTAACTTTCTAAAAACGGTTTACCAACGATGCTTTGTCTGAAAAGTATCCATTACAAATCTCTTCATTTACAAACTCAGTTATGAAGGACAAGTATTTTCTATAGAGACTTAAGTATACATGACTGATCTAACTTTTAGACTCAATGATAAACTATCAATATTTTTTAAATTATATTCACTCTGTTCAAGGCCCAAGAACCACACGAGGTAGAGGCTTAAAGAGTAAAAGGTAGCATACCATGCAAAGTGATAATGCCACTGAGATGCACAGGGACAAATGTAATTGAAAGAGAAGAAAAAAATGTTGTATTGTTCTACGAGAGCTGATCAGTAGTCAACTTCTGACTGTCTCTTCCTTTACTACACACTTTATATCACTTCTACTTAACACATGAAAATAGGTACAATACTATTTACCAATCCGCTACACCTCCCTGGACTCTCGAACTTCTACAACCGCTTTCCTCCTCACCTCTTGAGGTGTATATCCTGCTATATTTTTATGGAGAACTTGGTCTTATTTCACCTTCTTTCGTATCTGAGTCACTCCCGCTATCACCCATAGGATCATTTTCTATTGCATTATCCTGATCTGAAGAACTCATCCTTTCTTCTCTGTCAAGGTCTTCTTCCATCACGAAGTCTTGCTCTTCATTTCTTGGTCGTGAATGGTCAAAATAAGCCATTGAGTTTTTCCCTTTATTTGATGTAATGATCATGTTATACCCGCATTGCGTGATGAAATGAGCTCTCTCTTGAATTGCTACTTCACCATTCTTATACTACAAATAATTAGGAAGAAACCGAAAACCTAATCCTAAACAGAAAACAAGAGATACACCTCTACTCCTGTTCAAAAGGCCGGGGCGAATTCCGAGGAAAAAAATAGTAAATAAAATTTCAAAGTCTTAGTCGGAGTAGACTCTGGAATTAACCGGGGCCACAATCCTAAACAGGAAACAAAGGACAAACATCTACTCTTGTCCAGAAAACTGGGAAGAAGTTTGTACCGGGTGATAGGCGAACCTACTGGTTATTAGCGCAAGTATAAATTATGTTTTTAGTAGAAACTTCACTAAGAACAACCGATTACTCGTGAATAATATGATCAAAATTGTTTTTGACTTCAATTACCCAACAATTTATCCACCAAAACAGCATTTTAATTTAATGATTCATTTTTAACTTTCGTTTCGTAAAGACTAAGTGCTAAGTTTATCGACTGTGCGGTTTATATCTAAATAGGCTGGACATAGAGAATAAATCCAAATTATCGGTTCTGCTTGAATATTTTAGTCAACCCTGTTTATTGCAATATTCCTAAGAGTGCAACATGATCATGTCATATCCATTTTTCTTGTCTCTCGTCATGAATAAGTACTTAGGAAATAATAATTGCTTTTGAAACAGATTGCATTCAAAATTAAACGATAATATCAAAAAAAAATTTGTAACAGATAATAATTAACGGACGATGAAAGTCGATTAATATTTAATAAATATCCAACTCTCAAGTGGGCCACGTCCGTACGTAATTTGATTTTCATATGGCCTCCTGATTAATCCTGGTTGATACATCAGTACTTGAGATCTTAAATATAAAAAAAACAACATGGCTGTTAGTCATGATAATGTGATACATTCACTAATGCTTGTTAGCAAAGTGCATACCACGGTAAGACCTACGATCGTGGTTTGAGTGAAGCCATCGACTCCACAGTGAACCTGCATGCTCGTGAGAAAAATATAACATTATAGGGAGGTAATGTTGAGATTATCTGTTTCCCTTTGACGGTAGGAAATAAGGGTTGTCTATCAAACACCGAATTTAAGCAGTCTCGTGGCCTATCAGTTTAAGACGCGGATAGCATCAGGTACTGTAAGCAACGTCTTACAATCAGAAATATGTTTCAGCTTTAAATAGCGCACAAAGGGATGATAAGCCGTAAAGTAACAAATTAATGCCTATACGGAAATATTCGACATTTTGTGACCGAAAATTTATCGTTAGTGTCGGCTGAAATTTATAAAAACCTTGCCTACAAACAGATCTTTCAGTAAAATAGTATTCCCACGTGCTATCCACTTCAAGTCCTCAAGGGTAGAGGTTTCTGTTATTTGGTACTGGTCTTTGTGATTCTGTAGCGCCAGTCCACGAGATTCGATGAAGCACGGTCTTCTTTCAGATATACAGACTTCATTCGTTCGAAAAGATATATTTCTAAAAAAAGCAGGAAGGAAATACTGAATGCATATATCAAGACAGAATTTGGAAAAAGTTAGGTATAGTGAGAGATTTTAAGCGCTGAAAGTTGCATCCAAAAAACAAACACCATTCATGATTTTTTTTTTTTGATTTATTGAGTGCTCCTAGAAGCTAAAACATTTGAATTGAATTTGCCTGATCCATTTTGAACTTGCTACGGCCTAAATTAAATTTGCTTCTTCCATTTTGAATTTGACTATTTCATTTTGAACTTGGCTATTTCATTATATACTTGCTTGGTTCCAAAATGACTTTCATTAGTGCGAAATTGAACTTGAAATGGTATAATCGTAATCAGAGTTCCATGCTCACGCCATCTTCAAACGACTTAAACCCAAATGAAAGAAGGGAGTGGCTAGATTTATATAACGTGTTCATTGCTCAGGAAAAATTTGAACTAATAACCATTGATAACCACACACGCACACACACACACACACACATATATATATATATATATATATATATATATATATATATATATATATATATATATATATATATATATATTTATTTTAAGTAACGAAAATCTTGGTAATCCGTATGGATAATCCCAAGGCGGATGAAATTCTGAGAGCTCAATGTTAAGTCAGAGCGAATAATTTAATTTAAAGAAAAACAGACCACTTTAAGGCTCCATTAGTTATAATTTATTTCACCAGAGAATTTTATTTTTCTCTGGATCTTCAGATTTCACTTTCAAAGTTGAAACGAAAAATGAATTCAAAATTTACACTTTTGACGGGCAGTTTTAAGCTTATATAATAGAGGGTGGTGAGGAATAGTGATATAGAGGGTGGTAAGGAATAGTGATATATATATATAAATATCTGCGTGCGTGTGTTTACTATGATGAGATTAATATTAAATAAACTCATAAAAGAGGTTCTCCTAAATCATCACCCGTTAACAAATATTCAAACTGTCCACTGTATACAAACGCTTTCTAAGATCAATGGTTGAAAATGGCTTCGAGCGAGTGAACTCTAGAAGTCTTAGCAATTATTATCCTTCTTTGAATATTGTGGACTGGCGCTACACAATCACAATCAAAAAACTGTACCAAATAGCAGAAATCACACCTCTCGAGGACTATGACCAGCAGCAATAACTAAAATAGTTAGCAAATAGAAAAGAGATAGTAATAACGCCATCAAGATGCTGATATTCCACACTACTTTAAGTAAAAGGTTGGAAAGGAAATCCATCAGTACTGGAAAGAACAATAACAGCTACTGGACTTGAGAGACCTATTTTCCGAAAATTATTTTTTTTTTACGAAAGGGTTATATACGTTTCAAAGGAAAGCAGTACTGACTGCTCGTTCAATGAATGCCAAATGTTTTCTCATAGGAAAACGGTTAATATTCCCATTATCATTAGAATTGAAAGAGGCGCAAACCAGGTAGGTACGTTGGATTAATTTGGTAAAGGCTTTGAACTAAATAGGTAATTGTGTTTGATTGTTATCATTTTAACTGACCAGCTATCTAGCATTTGAAATATATTTATTCTGTATTTGTCTTAGTTTATTGGCTTAATGGGAGCTGCATATGAGTAATAGCATAACCGTGTATCACTTCGATAACAACAAAGATTAAAGTTGGTTATTACATTGGTTATTATATGGGATAGATTTGCTCAGGCGGAATACGGATCTTATTTCTCCATTGTATTTTTGGGCGCAATGAATTGTTAGGCGACTGAAAAAAGAAACTGAAATCTAGAAAGAAAGGAATAAACAAAAAGAAGAGCGAAATAGAGTCGGAAATTAAAAGGAAAGAAAAGGATGAGGAAGCAAGACAAAGAAAACGGAAGATGAACAATATGGTAAAAAGCTAAATAGCGAAAACAGAGCAATGGAATTAAGAGAGCAAAGAATAAAAGAGAGAGAAAGAGAAAAAAACGAATGGAAGCGTGTAAGAATAAAGGATAGTGTCAGACAGAATAAAGAATAGTGGAATAAGGTTTAGTGTCAGAAAGAATAAAGAATAAGGAATAGTATCAAAAAGAATAAAGAATA